ATCTAATAGGTCTAAACTTTCAAGTTGTGTCTAATAGATTTCTGAACTTTATAACGTGTCTAGTAAGTCCTTAAATTTTTAATTTTGTGTTTAATAAGTCCTTGACTTAATAAATATTTTTTATTAACTCCACTTACCTGTGAGATAAAAAGTCTTACTAAACTCAGAATTCAACTTTTTTTTTTTTTTTTTTTGGCAAATAAGTTTGTGAATATTGAAAATATAGAATAGATCAGATCTATTCAACAGTAAATTTAAAGTTTATGAGATCTTGAGGGAGTAAAGTTTCTTAATAGGAAGAGGAAGCCCTTTTGAGTGAGGCACCTCAAAGACGAGAGAATCTGTATGAAGTTTGAGTTTGTGGAGCTGATTAGACAAGAGGCATTATCTTGGTAGTAGAAATCTAGACTGAGATGTGTGGAGGAAGGAGACTACAAAATTGGGTTAAATTACAAATTTGGCCCTACGATTTGGAGAAACCTAGAATTTAGCCCCTACAGTTAAAAAAATTTAAAGTTAGAATTCCTCTCTATGGTTTGATAATACCATTTTTGATAGTTTTATCAGATCGAGACTATCTATGAAGTGGTATCAAATCATAATAATGAAATTATAATTTTTCAAATCTGAACTTAGTTTTAAGATGAGGACCAATTTTATAATTTGAACTTAAGGAAAGGAAAAGAGGAGCCCATTTCATCTTCAGATTTTGGTAATTGCCGTTGATGTTTTGAAATGCAAGATTCAGTGAAGTTTACAAGTCAATTCAGCTCTATGAAGTGGAACTAACTATATGATATAGTTGACTCGAAAGATTCACTAGAGAATGGCATTTATTTCCATTGAGAATCGTACATGCAAATGATATTAACGATATTAACGCTACATTTATGCATGCTTAATAGAGATGAGCCTTTGGAGCCTTAAACTCCTATGGTGTCTCATTGACAACAAGATTGACACTGGTAAGATTTCACTATACTGCATTGCTGAATTGTTAATCTTTGGAAAAACCTAGTATCAAGTTTGGCTGTGGAAGGAATGTGACACGTTTTTGTTCTATTGGCAATTATAAGTACATAACCCCAGATCACCTTCTTATGATCATTACCATATTTAGTCTGTAATTTCTTCCAATTTCCAGTCTGAAACTCTTGTTAACAGCGTTTAAAATGTATAAGATCTCCATAACATGTTTCTATCACCCTTCTGATTGTTTGGTAAGGGTGGAATGGAGTGGCTCTGGGACACGTTCATGACAACTTTTTGTTTCCTAATGGTTATTCAGATGGGAGGGCTGCATGATTCTATGGAGAGTAGAATTTCGGCACTGGAAAAGCTGAACCAGAATGATGGTTCCCAACATGTTCAAGCAGCAGAGTAGACACTGGAGACCAAGCCAGGACAGTCTGAAGGGCCTTGCTGGACATAGAAAGAACTTTCTGCTTTGTATGCTCATCAAGATGTTAAATTTTGCTTGGATAATCTGTTTAGTTAGTGTATGATCTTTGTTGTTATCAGATTTAGGTTTGTACCGAGCTGTTAGCTAGTTGTAATGATATTACCATGCCCATAGAAGCTTTCCTAAAGTTGATGAGGGAAGTTTCTTTTCTTTGGTAGTGCGTTTTTACACTATTGAAGGGTTTTATTACCATAATTTCTTAAGATTAAGAGGACGATCAATCAAACTTCAAGTTTAACTATGTGATCGTAACCACCCTTATAGTTTAGAAGTGATTTCCACAATTTTTCTCAAATTTTATTTTGAAGTTAATGTAATGATGTTAAGATTCTAATGTCATTTATTGTTTACATTATAGGTGTTGGATGTTTGAATGATTTCTCATCTCCGACTCGAGAGAGACTTGGACTGAATTCATATTGGGCTTAGTGTTCCAAAATTGCTGAGTTCTTTCAAAATAATTTGGAGACGAAAATGAAAATTTAGGAATAAATTTAGGAAAATGTTGTTGGTGAAGGGTCCATTTGATGGTACGAACAAATTTGGGAAGAATTTTATGTCATTTCAGACAAGCTTCTAATTTCTGTCATTTCCATAGACCCTTCAAGAATCATTAAGAAGTTGTAGTAGAAATCTGGAGCATTCCAAGTGACAGGTGTATGATCTCCAGACCCATCTCCATTCTTCTTCACTTTTCATTTCTCTATAAATCTCTTCTTCATCCTCTCTGTAAGACACCTTCCATAAACCAAACACCAACTACAAATCCAACACAGCCATGGCGTCTACTCTTTCCTCTTCTGCTTCACCTCTGTTGTCCTTCAAACCAAGACCCCTTAAGAAAGCCCCACCGCCCCGACTCACATCCCTGCCTTTCAGGGTGAGAGCTGAGGCCGGAGCCGGCGGCGACCACAGCAAAGACACATCTTTGGAGGTGCATGTCAATCCAAGCGGCCAGAGCCAGGGCACGTCCGTGGAGAGGCGCCCCGGCCCCAAGCGGCTGGCCATGGATGTTTCACCGTATGGTAAGTCCTTTACTACTCAATTCGTCAATTAAGCTCATACCCATTCGTAAAAATGTTGGCTGAAGTTTGATTCAATTACCCTTTTGCAGGAATCTTCGACCCTTTATCTCCAATGAGGACAATGAGGCAAATGCTGGACACAGTAGACAGGTTGTTCGACGATGCAGCAATATTGAGGCCAGGAGGCATGTGGAGCAGGGGAGAGGTCCGAGCTCCTTGGGACATCGAAGAACACGAAAACGAAATCAAGATGCGTTTCGACATGCCTGGCCTCTCCAAAGAACATGTCAAGGTATCTATTGAAGACAATTTCTTGATTATCAAAGGCAGCCATGAGGACACTAGCAGCCATGAGGAGGGCTGGTCCGCAAAGAACGCCTCTGACTACCACACCCGCCTCCAACTTCCTGATGGCATTGACAAGGACAACATCAAGGCCAAACTTAACAATGGTGTTCTTTACATCACACTCCCAAAAACCAAAATTCAACGCAATGTCATGGATATAGAGATCCAGTGATAGTTTGTGCATTTTAATGATGTATATATACATATAAAACAAGTTTGTTTCAATAATGGCAAATTCTGTCTCTCTTGATTGTTATGAATTGTTCTACAAACCACAACATCAAAAGGACGCTTAGCGGAAAGTAAACTAAACTAACTTTGTCCTACAAATTCCATTATGCTTCATTTCCTTCAGGAATGGCTGCCAGCGCAGGCTTCCAAGATGATGAACATTCAAGAACACTGCACAACGTGGTTTTCTCAATCCGCTGCATAATTAGCTCTTCCATTGACACTTGTTTGTCCACCAGCAGCTTGAGCTGTTTCTTTGTTAAAACGATTCTTACTCTCCTTGTGCTGCTGGGTTTGTCTGAATCATCCATGAGGCTGGGTTTGAGCGTTGGCGTGGTGAGCTCCAACACCTTTCCGTCTGGTTTAACAATCTTCAAAGGTTCCACCTGCTTGTGTGCTGCATCGACCTTGAGGCAACAAGGCAAGATGGCTCTGTAGGAAGCACATGAGTTACCCATTTTGATTCGTTCAAGACAGGGGAGAGGCAGTGTTAGGGTGGAGATGGAAGCTTATATTTGGGGCAGAGGCAGCAGGGGAAGGCTCATGTTCGTGCATGCAAGGAGGAAGAGGCAAATTTGGCCAGCCATTCCTTCGGTTTCAAAGCCAAATAGGGGTGCTTTATATATATAAAAGGAGGACAAATAGTCAACAAGCGTGCTGAGAGAAAATACATGGCGGCTTGGCCTCTCTGTTTCTGCTCCATTTCTCAACAACTGGGCGCCTACTGTTGTCCATATTTTACTTGGCGTCATTCTGCACTTGTCACAGCTCCTCGATAAATTATTTAGTGAGGCCGACACAATAGAACTATCTCGTCATAAATGTCCAACACGATAGAATTGTCTAGGAATAAACATCCAACCCGATAGAACTGTTGTATGATTATATAAAATAAAGTGTCTTGATCACGTAGATGATTTGGATTTAAGAAGATCTTATTGTATTTTTTAAGTTTTAGAGAATTATCTTTAAATTACAAGTTATAATTAGGTAACCGTCTTTGAAGTTATACCATTTCAATTTATTGTAGGTTACTATAAAGTTTATTATTTTTAGATTATTAATAGTTACCCTCTTCCCCGACCTTTATTGCCCAATCGAACAGGAACAAGGTTCTATGGTTGGTTCACGATTCCTGCATACTGAACGCGTCCTTGAGGTGATCTTATAGTTCTATGTGTGGAGATGATGGGGTCAATCCATGAATTTTCCTTTCTTTTACCACATTTTGTTCAAAGGGTTAAACGAAGATAGTGCATCAAGCTATTCGCAAGGGCCAACTTGATTCTCTCAAATGAGGGAACCCTAAAAGAGCCGCCGACTCCAACTACCATCCCGTTTTTATTTTAACTTTGTTGAGAACTAAACTTTTACTTGGCAAATTCTTATTTTTAGAATTTACATGCTAGAGTCATTTAAATAGTATTGATCAAACCTCTTGTAAACTGATTTGAATCACAAGTTTTCCCTACTCTTGATCATCAAGGTAATCTATTCTAAAACGTTCTCTTGAATTACTTCCATATCACATAATAAACGGCTTCAAACAATGATAGGCCGGACACCCGTTTGGATCATAGGGTTTGGTAGGTGGCATGATGGACTAAGGATGAGTAAAAAATTGAAGGAAAAAAAGGGAAAATGATTGTGGTTAGGTTGGGGGAAAGAGACGAGGAAGCAAAAAGAAATGATTAAATAGAATGCTTGGCGACAAAGTTTGGTTTGTGGAGTGGATATCTTTGTATTTCTGCAATATAAGATATGTTTTGCTAACCCACTAAACGAAACTTACCATTATTCTTACTTCTTATTGCTTCAAACGCCTGTCTTTGCTTGTTTTGTTGGATAGTGGGATGGTGGACATAATATATTTTTAAGGATTATTTATACCCGTCGTGTGATTCTACGTTGGTTGGAGAAGGAAACGAGACATTCTTTACAAAGGTGTGAAAAGGGAACGAGACATTCTTTACAAAGGTGTGAAAATCTCTCTCTACCCGATATGTTTTAAAAATATTGAGAGGAACCCTGAAAGGAAAAAACCTAAGAGAATAATATCTTATAACGGTAGGCCTAGGCTGTTACAATTGGTATCAGAGCCAAACACTGGGTGTTGTGCCAGGACGTTGGACTTCGAAGGGAGTAGATTGTGAAATCCCACATTGGTTGGAAAGGGGAACGAGACATTCTTCATAAGGGTGTGAAAATCTCTCCCTAGTAGACACGTTTTAAAAATTTTAAGGGGAAATGTGACCTAAAGAACAATATCTTCTAGTAATGGGCTTTGACTGTTACAAATGGTATCAGAGCCGGTAAGACGTTAGGCTCCAAAATTTAGAATGTTAATTTTATACTTGATATAGCTTCGATCTTATATTTAACTTTAAAACTTTTATGATTGTACCACCGAAAGAATGGTACATATTATTAATATAGTAATATTCCAACGTGGTATTAACTCATTTATATATCTCTTTTTTAGTCCGGATATTCAATACATTAATAAATTCACGTTTTTTTTCTCTCGTTCTTAATTTGCCTTTTTATTTTTATTTGTAATTGATGATTAGTTATTTGTTCTTGGTTCACCAAAATCAACATAATTAATTTATCAATAAATTATTTAAATATATATTTAATTCATTTTTACATTTAAAAACTTATTTAAGGAATGTAATTAGACGAGTTAAGTTACATTGGTAAAATTTAATTTTTATAATTATAATTAATTATTTCTCGGGACTAATTTTGATTAGTTGATTTATTATTTATATATCATAATTTTAAAAAATAATTTATTGATTCATTTTTATTATAATTATTAAACAATCAAATATTTATTTAATTCATTTTCATTATGATTTTTTTATTAGATTAAAAAAATATTAATTTTGAGGGATATTTTGATTTAATTTTTTTATTTGATTAATTAAGCTATTAAAATGGAATAAATAAAGTGGACGATAAATTGACCAAAGTCAAACTAAATTTGTCCTTTAAGGAAGTGGGAATGTTGCTTTTGTCCTGGTTTGACTTTTAAGGCACCACACAATCATATTTATATGCAACACTTCAAATGGTCTCTCTTTTTGCTGTTCGGAGCTTCTTGGTCTCCTTAATCGGCCCGATATCTTCTCGTCTTCATAGTTTTCTCGGTGGATTTGCGCTGAATTGGATGTTCATGGGTTGGGTTGAGTAGAGTCGGGTTTAAATAGTAAAATTTAATACACTCAATTAATTATTGTTATTGTCTCTCTCTCTCTCTCTCTTCATCTATCTCATTGTGCTCATCTTCATCGTTCTTATCTCACGGGGTTCAACTTCTCCGTTGACGTCCTCATCTTAGACGTTGATCTAGCTCGCGGGTCACCTCTTTATTTCTCCGTTAGACTCTCTTTTCTACTACCATTTCTCCACTTGATTTCGTCAACGTCGTTCCAACTGTTTCTCCACTCAGCTTTCGTTCCATTTTCGTCGGACTTCTACGCTCTTTGTTCCTCATTGGACTTCTCCGATCGGCCGTAGTTTTTTCTCCACTTGTATCTTCTCAATTTGGAATAACCCGAACTCAACCCCACCCTAAACCCAAAAATAAATTAGTTTAGTTTATAGAGGGTTGGGCTGGGTTGTGAAAATTTTCGAGTTTAATTTAAAATTAAAATAATTTTTTTAAAAACAAGTCATAGACTTGCACGTTTAATTTAAAACAAGAGAATAGAAATGACATAGTATTTGAATACAAAAATAAAAAGCCACCTATTAATTACTAAATGAAAATCAATGCATACTACTACCCTATCTTGACTTTCATGACCATTTCAACATTTACTGTCATCTGTGCATGAGCGTTTTACCTTTACATGAAAAATAAAGGTAGCACGTGACTTGAGTATTTTAAGAAATACTTAGTAAATCACCTCATTTTTTGCGTTAGTAATGCAATCACACACATATGATGATGAGACCTATTCTTTAAAACCGTAACATGACCTTGGACTTTTCCAATTCTAGGCAAGGTTGGATGTGTGGTACTTCCCCACACATGGCTCATGCACGCGCACATGAACCTACCAGGCAGGCTGTATACATACTCCCTAGGCCTGACTTGGTCAGGGACAACGCGTCACCAGACACCGCAGAAAAGGAAAGACTCGCATGATATCATGATGAACGTAAATATCGAAGGTACACATCCGTATTAATATAACATAATGAGGAAGTATTCCAATGCATAACATACATACATACATGAGGTTCTCATGATTCATAGCATATCATTAACATCATTCTCTTTTTTCTTTCATTTATGACATATTACATATATACATCATGTATGAAGGTGTTAATATAATACATGCGGAAGCAATTTAGATCTTAGGCAATTTTAAAACATCAATTATAGTAAATAACTATCATGTTCATAAGTATTAAAACTTAATGAGTTTGAATACTAAACTTTTGTAGTTCAAATTCCTTTTTCCTCACGAACCGGTTTCGAACCACCACTAGTGTCTTCTCCACTATCCTCCAGCCTTAGAACGGGATTGTGGAATCCGGTGAGTGACTAAACTTGGGAGGGATTTTGTATATATGAAGAGAGTGTTTGTGAGAGGTTTTTCTCAAGGTTTTTCACCAACAAGAAGCACTTTCATGATCACTCTATTTATAGAGTCATGTTTGTATGTTCATGCAAATTTGAGATCACCAAATTTTGACTCAAAATTCCACTCAAATGTTTGGGATTATGTGGCAAGCATGCATGCTTGAGTTAACCAAATTTTGACACTCAAAATTTCACTCAAATTTATGGGGTTTAGTTGGCAAGCATGCAAGTTTGGTTAAACCAAATTTTGACACCTCAAAATTCCACTAACATGGATTTTCATTTTGATTCAACAATCAATTTGAATTATTAATTTCAAATTAAAGTAATATTAAATGATTAATTAAACTATTTAATTAATATTTAATATTAATTCAAATGCCAATCTCAATTAATTGCGACACGTATTTGATTAAGATATTTAAATCTTATTTAAATATCTCAAATTCTCTCTTTTTGTTTAATTCGTAAGTAAAACAAAAATGCGGTTAAATACATCGTATATATGTAGCACATTCTCCCTAATATGAATTCGAACACTTCGAACTCACTCGTCACACTGTTATATGGTTTAGTTCGATATGAGCTAGCAGAGGGACCTAATGGACCTATAGATCATGGGCTCCAACGATCCAAGATTAACCTGTTAAACTCATTAACCTTGTTAACCATCATTCGTTAACTACTAGGACATTCCACTATAGTCTAGTAGTTGCACTCCCCTCACTATAGATATATTTCTGTCCATTTGATATAACCATAATTAGTAAGTCGATCCTTCACAAGTTGTTCGTAACTAGAGCTAGGTCAATTTACCGTTTTACCCCTGAAGTTACTTCTTGTTTCTTATGTTTCATTGATCCTTTAATGAATAATTGGTTTGTGGTCCAACAAGTAAACTGAATCCCTCTCAGGCAATTGAGAGGGTGGGGCCCTTGTTCAAGACCTGGAGTCAGTACTTAAGAGAACTACCTCTCTTCTATCCCTAAAAGTGGGTAGAAATGAATTTCATCTTGCACCCCACGTCCCCAACCATTTACCCAGTCTTACCCTTGAAATGGGAGGCCTATTGAGTCGGCGAACTTGAGCCACTCTCACCCATGCAAATCTAAGAATAATTCCGAATAAACAGGAGTTCATGGTTAGCTCAAGATTAAGATCGAGTTACCTAGGTCATCGAATGAAAAGAAAATCAGTCTCAACAGTAAACAACATTATAAAGTGAGAGTGATTTTCTTCCTGGTCCGATCTTATGCAATACTCATTGCATAGGACGCCCCACTCACATGTCTCCACATGTACAATTTTAGTGATCACATTGTTTATATCATATACAAAAGTGGGCCGCATCCGTAGTGTCCCCAGAATAAGATACTCAGCCTTATCCTTATACTATAGATCATTTTGACTATATACTTGAACTTGATCAACTCTTATGTCTCTACATATAGTTCAAATAATCATACTATAGCTAGAGTGTTCTTAGTTTATTGGATTTAGACTAATGATCATAAAGTTCACTTTATTCCATAACAATCTTTGCTGAATAAACAATCATAATAACTTTATTGAAAATAGAATATGTTGTTGTTTACAAACTATGAGTTTTAGAACATAAAACCCAACAATGTATACATAGTAATCATCACATAATCCACCACATAGCTTTACATGGCAAAACATGACATACATAGTATTTCATTTCACAATATGGTGTAATGGATATCATATGCATACATAGCATAGCGTCATTTGTTATTACATAGAACACATAAACATAGCATAATGTAATATAGTGCATACAAGGATCACAAGGCATGTACCATCATACATCATTCTATTATCCAACTTCAACGGTAAGATCACTTACTTGATTATCTTAAATAAGTGTCATTAATTTATCTTTAATGAAAGTTCGATTATGTCCATTGAAATCCCAGTCAACCTATGTGAGCCCATGATATCAAGAGTTGTATGTTTTGAAATATGGGGAAGTTGATGGGTTTTAAATATAGGAGAAAAGTGGCCAAAGATAGAAATTAATATGGACATTAGACTTGGTAAGAGAATGAGAGGGGAGATTAAAAGTAAATAATAAGATTTTTTTTTAAAAATTTATTATTATTATTTTTTTAATTATAATAATATAATATAAAAATAATAAAAAGGGAGTAACTCAAATTAAAAATTCAAAATTTTTACATATAATAATAATAATATAATAATAATAAAAAGATAACGTGAATAACCGTTAAATTCAAATTTCAAAATTTATTATAAAATATAATATAATAATAATAAAAATGATCTAAGTAACACCACAATTTCAAAATATATTAATATAATAATATAATAGAATAATAATAAAAATCGATGTGAGTAACGATTAAAATTAAATTTATATTATGTATAAATAATTTTATTTAGAGATTCAGAACAAAAACTCTACCATTTTTTACTCTTCTAAAATTATAAACTTCATACTTTCATTTGTACTCATTTTGATTTAACCGCCACATCATCACGTCTACTATCTTGTCTCTCATTTGAATGATTGAAAAATAGTTGAAATAGTTATTTTTAAGACAATTTAAAATACGGAAAATAATTAATGCTAAGAGTAAGTTTGCTATCATCATAAATATATTTTCTCACTTTCATCCGAATGGAATCTTTTAATGTTGTTGTGACCTAATATCCAGATATAATATTTAAAGTATATATTATTTATGGAATATATCTTAAATATTATATTTTAATATTCTTTCTTAATATTTGATTTATAGTATATTTTATTTTATTTTTAATATTTAATTACTTTATATTTTCATTATTGGTAGATATTAGTTGCTAGCTTGTATCCTAAACATTATGAATATCATTCAGAATACACACTTTTGATTCCAATTCTATTTCTATTTTTCATTCATAACATGGTATGAAAGCACCGATCTTGGTATTCTTAAATACCAAAATTTCTTCAATCAGCCAAATCCAACTTCAAAATTTCGGATGTTGATTTAACACATCCTTATTATATTCATCACTCTGATCAGCGAGGATATTCACTAGTCCAATCAAATTAAATGAAACAAATTACCAATCCTGAATTAGATCAGTTATGCATGCTCTTATTGCCAAAAATAAATTGGCTTCATTGATGGCACAATTGAAAAACCGTCTCAAGATGCAAATTCAACCGAATTTGAACTGTGGAATCAGTGCAACAGTATGATAATATCTTGGTTAACTCATTCAGTTGATACAGGTATCATTGAGGGTATTATTCATGCCAAGACAGCTCATCAAGAGTGGGTTGATTTTCACGATCAGTTCTCGCAAAAGAATGCACCAGCAATTTTTCAGATACAAAAGTCGATAGCAATGATGTCACAAGGAACCACGACACTATCAGCATATTTCACCAAGCTCAAAGCACTCTGGGATGAATTGGAAGCGTACGACACACCATTTACCTGTAATCAACGTTAAATACATGTTGATCAATGCGAAGAAGACAAGTTGATGCAATTACTCATGGGGCTCAATGAGTCTTATAAAACGGTGAGATCTAACATATTGATGATGACTCCATTACCTAATGTGAGACAAACCTATTCATTACTTGTACAAGAAGAGATGCAGCGTCAGGTAACTTCTGAACTTACTAAAAATTTCTAGATGGTATTAGTAGTGTAGAAGAAAACAACATATTCAAAATTCGCCAAGGATAAATCATGTGAATACTGCAATAAAAATGGTCATACAATTGATTAGTGTCGAATCCTTAAGTTTCACTGTAAATTTTGTGATAGAAGGGGACATACAGAAGATCGATGTCAATAGAAAAATAATTCTAGAAGGGCAGTACAAATCAATCAACGCAAAAATCGAGGATATCGATCATTTGCAAATATGACCGATGTTTCTCAGTTGAATACAGAAGAACAATCACCTAATTTCATCCCAAATTTTTCTTCTGAGTAATTACAACAGATTGTATCATCCTTATCTGCACTCAATCATCGTTCTTTTGGTAATTATGATAATAACATCAATGTTGCAAGTTTGTTTCCAGTATCTGCATTATCTATTAACTCTATAAATTCTAATCCATGGATTCTCGAAAGTAGAGCTACTGATCATATAGTATCCAAAGCTTCTGTTATGACTGAACCAAAGGCTACCACATATCTATGATAAATTTTCCTAATGGAGGGACAACACATGTGTCACATACCGGAAATGTTTCCTTTAATCTTGACCTTAAATTAAAGAATGTTTTATGTGTGCCTTCATTCAATTTAAACCTAATGTCCATAAGAAAACTTACCAATGACTTGAAATGTTATGTCACCTTCTATCCTTATTCTTGTGTTATGCAGGATTTAGCTACAGGGAAGATGATTGGCTCGGGTAAACAATTCGGAGGTCTCTATCATATTTCATCATCTCCAATCAAATCTTCAGCAAATCAAGTATCTCAGTCATCTAATTTGTGGCATTTATACCTAGGTCATTCTTCTTCTTCTCGTTTTAAATTTCTATATGATCAATTGCATCTTAATAATGATACTCTTTCTCATAATGGTAGTATTTGCCCATTAGCAAAATAAACTAGGTTGTCTTTCCCAAGAAGTTTAATAACAACTCATTCTGTCTTTGGTCTGTTACACTGTGATGTTTGGGGACCACATAAAATTTCAACCCATTATGGTTTGCGTTTTTTTTCTCATTGTTGTTGATGATTTTATTCGATGTACTTGAGTTTTTCTTATGCAACACAAATGAGAAGTACATCATTTGTTAGTAAACTTTATTAAATTCGTTCAAACTCAATTTCATACTACTATCAAAATATTTAGATCAGACAATGGGACTGAGTTTCTATCTTTGTAACCATTTTTTACTTCTTGTGGCATTGAATTTCAAAGCACTTGTGTCTATACTCCACAACAAAACAGAGTCATAGAACGTAAGCTAGGTCTCTTCTTTTTCAGTCACAGGTTCCACTTGATTTTTGGGAAGAATGCATTTTAACGGCTGTTTATCTTATAAATAGAACATCATCACCATTATTATCTAACAAGACACCATTTGAAGCACTCTACATGTGAGGCCCAATAACAAAATAAGAATTATAAAAATAAGCCCTAGGGTTCAGCATGTAAGCCAAACCCTTAGCGAGTTGCCGCCCGCCGCTCTTCCTTCTTTCTTTTTCACTTTTCTTCCTTAAGCCACTACCACCCAATGCTCACGGTCCCGCAGCCGACTGTTTCCCACACCACCCCGTGCCCCTTCCCACATCAGAAAACCCCCTGCCCAGTGTCACGATCATGCTCGTCCAAGGCATGTTGCTCATGGTCGCATGCCAATGACAAACCCAACCCTTTATGTCTTTTCATATTCTAGTGTTTTACTTTTGTATTTCTAGGAAGTATGACGTTTCAAAAATATCATGTCTAGGTCTGTCAGACATGAAATGCCTCAGAATGTACTATAGGGGGGATACGACTAGTTGTCAACTTCTCCCTACCCAAGGTTATATACTGTGAGCCATTGTTATTTCTCTCTTGTTTGCTTAAATAACGCCTCTTTCAAAAATCTCTCTTTCGGAAATCTCTCTCTGCCCTCGTTTTCTAATACCTTCCCTTAAAACCGAGGCCAGAGGCTCGAGCATACGTCGTTTGACTGTAGGCGACGTAAGAACGAATTGACTTAGCTCACTTGTCATTGGAAAGTGAGTGCCGCACAATCGCAAGTCCGCTGCCATCAAAAGTGCGATTGTGTCAAGTGGTATCAGAGCTTTGTAAGCTCCGTAAAATAGCAAAGACCGAAAACATGTCGACGACAAAGTCGACACCCAAATCACAAGCCGACCGGCTTACTTTAATAGAGGAGGAAATGCTGTCCTCAAAGAAGTCCCTGACACCATCCGTTTCCTGAAAGCACGGGTGACAGAATTGAATAGAAAAATCGTAGAAATCGACGCAATGGGTAACCGCCTGGATGGGTTACCAATCGCAGAAATGTTTCATGTGACCTCACTCGAAGAAAAAGTTGCTCCTATGAGCAGCCCAAGATCGTATGGTAGCCCTGATAGCTCTATCGCGCATAAGGAGGGACGTGGCGAAGAGTTCGACGTGCTACAAAATACAATGATGAGTTTGTTCAATGGATTAGCTGAGGAATTCAGAACAACGATCGATGACATCCAAGAAAAGATGTCCGTCGTGAGCACCCGAATTAAGGTGACCATGAAAGCCGTGGAGAACGTCTTGGCTGGGCAAACTAATATGGGATCTAACAAACTAAAGTTCTCATACCCTAGACCTTTCAAAGGGAATCAGAACGCCAAAGAGTTGGAGAACTTCATTTTTGATGTCGAACAGTACTTCAAAGCCACACCAGCTTGTACCGACGACATAAAGGTGACAGTAGCCTCGATGTATCTCATAGACGATGCCAAACTTTGGTGGCGTACGAAGGTGCAAGACATCGAAAATGAATTGTACACCATAGACTCGTGGGAAGACCTCAAGAGAGAGTTGAGTTGAGGGACCAATTCCTCGCCGAAAACATAGAACATCTAGCAATGAAAAAACTAATAGCCCTAAAGCAAACTAGAAGCATAAGGGACTATGTCAGACAGTTCTCGACCCTAATTCTAGATATCAGGGGCACATCAGAGAAGGACAAGGTGTTCTTCTTGTGAATGTTTGATTAATCCACCACACCTAAATGGTGTGAAAGTTATCTTATTTATAATCAAATAAATTACAAGGATATGGAAATAGTAATAAATGGAAATAACAATAAATGGAAAGATACCTATGATAATAAGACAAATATTAGATATTTGCCTTATAATAAAATATCAAATATAATATATATGGTAAACTATAATTTATTACTAAATATCCTTAACACCCCACCGCAAGCTAAGCGTCGGATTTAAACGAACGTGAAGCTTGAATCTGAAAAATTCAAAAAGGTTGAGAAACACTTTTCGTGAAGATATCAACAACCTGGTTCAGAGAAGGTGTAGAGAAACACTTTCTTGGCCATCAAAAATTGTAGAGGGATCGCCGCTCAGCGGCGATGTTGCCTTGGCTTCGGCGAGAATATGTCTAACCCATGAAGATGAATTATCGCTTAGCGACAATGCTGCCTTGGCTCTGGTGAGAATATTTCTAACCCCAAGAAGTAGAAGGGGAAACCTAGAGCAAGGGACAAAGACAATGTTGAAGCCGGAAGAGTCGCCACATTGGGCGAAGGAGCCAATTTTGGCGAGAAGGGCAGTCGGAAGAGTCGCCTCATCGGGCGAAGAAGCCAATTTTGGCAGGAAGGGCGGCGGCAACTTGGTTGGCGAATAGGCCAGTGCGGCACCCAGATTCCGAAGGTAAATCTCTGCAAAAGGTTGATAGGTTTAGGTTAGGGTTTATGTGAAGGATGAAGGTTGATTGGGAAGAAAATGAGAGAGACTATATTGGCCAAGGGGAAAACCGATTGGGTTGGAAAAGGTGAGGTTGTATGTACAGAGTATGACGAAAGGTGATTTGGAGGTCAATAGGGTGGAGCCGAAGAATAATCAATCGGCTCCGACTACGGCAGCCATGAAGACTGCCCCTGCGGCGTCAAAACCAGCAGGGGTGGTGGAGAAGAAGATTAGAGGATTCAAAAGCCATTGAAAAGAAAAGATCGGGGTTGTTAAACCGAGAGGGCTCTGATACCATGTGAATGTTTGATTAATCCACCACACCTAAATGATGTGAAAGTTATCTTATTTATAATCAAATAAATTACAAGGATATGGAAATAGTAATAAATGGAAATAACAATAAATGGAAAGATACCTATGATAATAAGACAAATATTAGATATTTGCCTTATAATAAAATATCAAATATAATATATATGGTAAACTATAATTTATTACTAAATATCCTTAACACCCCACCGCAAGCTAAGCGTCGGATTTAAACGAACGTGAAGCTTGAATCTGAAAAATTCAAAAAGGTTGAGAAACACTTTTCATGAAGATGCTAACAACCCGGTTCTTGGCCATCAAAAATTGCAGAGGGATCGCCGCTCAGCGGCGATGCTGCCTTGGCTTCGGCGAGAATATGTCTAACCCATGAAGAGGGATTGTCGCTTAGCGACGATGCTGCCTTGGCTCTGGTGAGAATATTTCTAACCCCAAGAAGTAGAAGGGGAAACCTAGAGCAAGGGACAAAGACAATGTTGAAGCCGGAAGAGTCGCCACATTGGGCGAAGGAGCCAATTTTGGCAGGAAGGGCTGCGGCAACATGGTTGGCGAATAGGCCAGTGCGGCACCCAGATTCCGAAGGTAAATCTCTGCAAAAGGTTGATGGGCTTGTCGAGATTCCGTATATTTCTGAAGAGAACACTGATGAGGATCCTGAGATTAGGGTTTCTGTGAAGGATGAAGGGTTGATTGGGAAGGAAATGAGAGAGACTATATTGGCCAAGGGGAAAACCGATTAGGTTAGAAAATGTGAAGTTGTATGTACAGAGTATGACGAAAGGTGATTTGGAGGTCAATAGGGTGGAGCTGAAGAATAATCAATCGGCTCCGCCTGCGGCATCCATGAAGACTGCCCTTGAGGCGTCAAAGCCAGCAGGGGTGGTGGAGAAGAAGATTAGAGGATTCAAAAGCCATTGAAAAGAAAAGATCGGGGTTGTTAAACCGAGAGGGCTCTGATACCATGTGAATGTTTGATTAATCCACCACACCTAAATGATGTGAAAGTTATCTTATTTATAATCAAATAAATTACAAGGATATGAAAATAGTAATAAATGGAAATAACAATAAATGGAAAGATACCTATGATAATAAGGCAAATATTAGATATTTGCCTTATAATAAAATATCAAATATAATATATATGGTAAACTATAATTTATTACTAAATATCCTTAACACTTCTTTATAAATGAGTGACAACCGTGGGCCAAAACAAATGTACACGAGAAGAAGGTTCAAGACCTAGCTACCACAATTGCCAGCGCCGAGAGACTCCTAGACTATGGGAACAAAGTGGGTTACCAAAGAAAAACAACACAGGCCCCAAACACTGGGGGCAAAACATATAAACAGCCAGGTCATCAAAATGGAAGTCCCAATAGGCCAAATGGAAGTAACGACAGACCAAGCGGGTGGACAGATAAACTTCCACAGAACAACCAAGCAGGGATATCTCGAGAACCTTACCCTCAAAGGAACCACCCGACGACACCTTTATAATGCCTGTTGTGTAAAGGCCCCCACAAAGTCTCCTATTGTTCTCATTGAGCCTCTCTCAGTGCACTCCAAGTGTCCATTCAAGAGAGCAACGACGGAAGAGTCGAGACTATGCTAATCAAGAACAAAGATCAAGACAACCCCCCCAAATGGGCACGCTCAAATTCTTGTCAGCCCTTCAACGGAAGGTCGACCCGAAGGAGATAATAGAGAAAGAGCTCATGTTTATGGATGCAGCAATAAATTCTCGACCGAGCAAGAGCACCTTGTAGATTCAGGAGCGACTCACAACTTCATCGCCGATCAAGAAGCACGAAGATTGGGACTCACCATAGAAAAGGACCCTGGAAAAATGAAAGCTGTCAACTCCGAGGCCTTGCCTATTGTGGGAGTTTCCAAAAGAGTCCCCTTCAAATTAGGGACTTGGATAGGAGAGCTGGACTTTATCATAGTTCGCATGGATGACTTTGACGTGGTACTTTGGATGAAGTTCCTCCTAGAACACAAAGTTATCCCAATGCCACTAGCGAAATTCTTGGTGATCACCGACCACAACCCCACAGTAATACCTGCAAGCATCAAGCAGCCAGGTATCTTAGAATGATCTCGACCATACAATTGAAAAGAGAACTCGCACAAGAGAAACCTACATTTATGACTATACCACTGATGGAAGAAGTGACCACTGAGGAAACTATCCCAAACGAAATCAATGAGGTACTAAACAGTTATGTTGACATAATTCTAGAGAGCTTACTACAAACATTACCACCCCGTCAAGACATTGATCACGAAATTGAACTCCTTCCCAGGGTTAACCCCCAACGAAGAACGCATACCGGATGGCTCCCCCTAAGCTAGCCGAATTGAGGAAACAACTAGATGAGTTGTTGACGGCAGAATTCATTCGCCCGGCAGAGGCACCTTATAGAGCCCCCGTATTATTTCAGAAAAAGAAGGATGGGATGTTGTGTCTGTGCATAGATTATAAAGCCTTAAACAAGGTGAGGGTACGAAACAAATACCCACTACCGATAATATCCGACTTGTTCGACCAACTTCACGGGGCCAAATACTTCACGAAGTTGGACTTACAATCAGGGTACTACCAAGTACGTATCGTCGAGGGGGACGAGTCCAAGACGACGTGTGTAACAAGATATGAGGCTTTCGAGTTCCTGGTAATGCCCTTTGGCTTGACAAACGCCCCAGCTACGTTTTGCACGTTAATGAACCAGGTTTTTTACGAATACTTGGATCAGTTCGTCATAGTATACCTCGACAACATAGTTGTATACAGCACAACCCTAGAGGAACACAAGGTGCACTTGAAGCTGGTGTTTGACAAGTTGCGGCAGAATCAGTTGTACGTCAAGAAAGAAAAATGTGCCTCCGCACAAACATGCATCAACTTCCTTGGACATATCATCAGTTGTGGACAGATCGGTATGGATAGCGATAAGATAAAAGCTATCCAAGAGTGGAAAGTCCTTACTTCCGTATACGATGTGCGGTCCTTCTTAGGATTAGCAAACTACTATAGGCGGTTCGTCGAAGGGTTTTCACGACGAGCCGCTCCATTAACAGAGCTCCTGAAGAAAGACCACCCTTGGTCGTGGTCAAATAAATGTCAAATGGCCTTTGAAGATCTGAAGGCAACCATGACGAGGGGGTCCTGTCCTCGAGTTAGTAGATGTTACAAAGCCATTTGAAATAAAATAGATGCTTCCGACGTTGCCCTAGGCGGTGTCCTTATTCAAGAAGGTCACTCCATCGCTTATGAAAGTCGAAAGCTTAAGGATGCCGAACGGAGATACACTGTCTTCGAAAAAGAAATGCTGGTTGTAGTCAATTGCCTACAAATCTGGAGACAGTATCTCTTGGGATCACAGTTCATAGTGAAGACGGATAACAACGCCTTCTGCCACTTCTTCGATCAACCAAAATTGACGGCAAAACAAGCCCGGTGGCAGAAGTTGTTGGCGGAATTCGACTTCAAATTTGAATACAAGGTAGGGAAGAGTAATCAAGCAGCCAATGCGCTGAATCGGAAGGGCGAACATGCGGCCCTGTGCATGTTAGCCCATATTCATTCAAGTAATGTCGATGGATCGATGCCCGATATCATCAAAGAATATTTACACAAGGACCCATCGGCCAAAGCCGTGTTGAACTAGCTAAAGCTGGGAAGACACGACAATTTTGGGTCGAGGGAGACTTTCTAATGACTAAAGAAAACATATTATACATCCCAAGAACAGGAGAACTGAGGAAGAAGCTCATTCAGGAATGTCATGATACCTTATGAGCCGGACACCCTGGGTGGAAAAGAACATATGCCCTAATAAAAAAGGGGTACTTCTGGCCGAATATGCGGGACGACATCATGCAGTACACCAAGACGTGCCTCATCTGCCAACAAGACAAAGTCGAGAAAGCCAAAGTCTCGGGACTCTTGGAACCTCTACCTGTGCCAACAAGGCCTTGGGAAAGTGTATCTCTGGACTTCATAACACACCTCCCAAAAGTCGGGGAATATGACGTCATCTTGGTTATCGTAGACCTGTTCTCAAAATATGCGACGTTCGTTCCCACTCCCAAATTATGCTTAGCTGAACTAACAGCCCAACTATTTTCAAACACGTTGTCAAGTTATGGGGCATTCCATCGAGAATCATTAGTGATAGGGATGGTAGATTCATTGGCACATTCTCGACCAAATTATTCGCCTTCTTGGGAACGACTTTAAATATCTCCTCGAGCTATCATCCTCAAACTGATGGATAGACTGAATGGTTCAACTGCTTGCTCGAAGAATACTTACGTGACTTCGTCGACGCTCGCTAGAAGAACTGGATACAATTGCTAGATGTCGCCCAATTCTGTTTCAATTGTCAAACGAGCTCGTCTACGGGGAAGAGTCCCTTTGAAATTGTAAGTAAACGACAACCGACCTTGCCCCATATTATTGATAATTCTTATTCAGGGAAAAACCTTCAAACTCAAAATTTCACAAGAAAATGGAAGCAGACAACAGATATAGCCCGAGCATATTTAGAGAAAGCTTCCAAGCATATGAAGAAGTGGGTGGACAAGAAGCGTCGCCCCCTCCAATTTCGAGCAGGAGATTAAGTTCTCATTAAGTTGAGACAAGAACAGATCAGATTTCGTAGTCGAAAGGACCAGAGACTAGTTCGAAAATATGAAGGCCTAATTGAAGTCCTTAAAAAGATCGGGGCTACCTCCTATAGAGTTGCGCTACCCACATGGATAAAAATCCACCTAGTAATTCATGTGAGCAACTTGAAGCCCTATCACCCTAACCTGGACGACGACCAGCGAAATGTAATCACGAGACCAAGCATCAATCTGAAACAAAGAGACAACAAAGAAATAAGGGAGATCCTAACCGATAGGGTTAGGAAGATAGGAAGACCCGTACAGACGATTCACGAATTCCTTGTCAAGTGGAAGAATCTCCCTACGGAGGAAACCAGCTGGAAACGCGCCGAAGATCTGGACTCCGCTGCCACCCACATCGCCAGGTTTGAAAGTAGTCGGTTGACAGGGACGTCAACCAATTAGGTGGGGGAGAATGTCACGGTCATGCTCGTCCAAGGCATATTGCCCATGGCCGCATGCCCATGACAAACCCAACCCTTTATGTCTTTTCATATTCTAGTGTTTTAATTTTATATTTCTAGGAAATATGACGTTTCAGAAATATCATGTTTAGGCATGTCATGAAATGTCTCAGAATGTACTATAGAGGGATACAACTAGTTGTCAACTTCTCCCTACCCAAGGTTATATACTGTGAGCCGTTGTTATTTCTCTCTTGTTTGCTTATATAACGTCTCTTTCAAAAATCTCTCTTTCGAAAATCTCTCTCTGCCCTCGTTTTCTAAAATCTTCTCTTAAAATCGAGGCAAGAGGCTCGAGCATACGTCGCTTGGCCGTAAGCGACGTAAGAACGAATTAGCTTAGCTCACTTGTCATTGGAAAGTGAGTGCTGCACAATTACAAGTCCGCTGCCATCAAAAGTGCGATTGTGATACCCAACACCCACGTCGCCGCCGCTAGGGAACACCATTGTCGTCGCCAGAACCGATAATAAGAGGATTAAACTCTCTCGATAGTAATGGTAACTAAATATTATATGAATAAGAGTTATTATGGTATAATGTTTGGTTGAGATTGTCTCAGTTTAGTGAAGGAACGCTTGACCTACCCTACGACGTCACTTGTTCTAAATCACTAAAGTACCAAAGCATTAGAAATGGTTTATAGGGTTCATTTTATAAAACTGTTTGTTCTTAGGCTGAAATTGAATGTATAGTTGATTGTTTGTAATTAAATAATATTTTATATATTTCTAATATCATGTTTAAATTCTCTCGATTGTTTAATTTTCATTACTGATAAGTCAGATTGAGAAAATTTTAATACTTGGAAAAATAATATTAGCACTATATGATGATAATATATATTTTTTTGTTGTCTTTGTTGAGAAATGTTGTCAAGACCTATTGTCAATGTGAATCGATTTGTTCGAAGAGCATATGATTGGTGAATCAAAGGTGATGAGAAAGCTTTGTTCATGTCTTTTAGTTGACATGTTGGATGTCATGCTAAAAGATAAGAAAATGACAAAAACATGTGAGATGTTTAAGTCAATAAAAGCTAAATTTAGATAGTTATCTAAAGGATCTCTAAATTCAGTATTACAAAAATTCAAAAAAAAAAAAATCTTAGAACTAAAGCAATGATAGGAAATAGTTCCTAATTAGGGAGGATAGTCATATGAGACAAATTTTTGAAATTACTCTCTTTAAAGAAAAATCTAAACGAAAATAAATTTGATTTACTAGATTTTTGGTGGAGACTCAGTGACACCAAGTGGATAGTTGATATAAGATCTACTATCAAGATTTGTTCTTCGTTACATTTATATGTAATTCTTGAAAAATACTTGATGAGGTAGAATAGATTCTACCGGTTGACACTAGGAAATCAATCTCAATGAGAGCAGTGGGAGACATTAAGGTGTTAAGTTAAAATTGTTACTAAATGTTGAACATGGCGTTTTTAGTAACCACGAGAGAAATTCAATTTCTCAAACTTTATTATTAAGTAGTTCATATAGTATTAGTTACATGAAATATTAAAGTTTATATTTTCAAAATTATTTGAAAATATGTTCCGCTCAAATTGAGTACAATTAGTATGTGTTAAAATGTTAATACTTCCTATACTACGAAACATTGAGATATTCATGATTAGAGAATCAAGAATAAAAAAATAAATTGCTTTCTCCAAAAGATGATACTTGTCTTTGTCAGTTCAGTTAATTAATGTCAAATTGAATACAATGAAAAGACTAGTAAAAGTTAATTCTCTAAACGTTGGAGTTAATTACTTTACATGTCTATAGATCTCGCTTTTCATGCAAGATAATCATTGGGCTTTTATTGAAAAAGGCTGGAAGACCAAAGAGCGTTTTGAGCTTATGCATTCTGACCCAAGTGGTCTGATGAATGCAAAAGGCAAAGAATGTTGTTAATATTTTATCAATATGATTGATGATTATTAATATATAAGTATCCTTATCAAATGTAATTTACTCTATTTTTTTTTTTTTTTTTTTTTTGAAAAGTTCAAGAAAAATGAGACTAAAGTTAAATCTATCAAGACATTATGATCGGATCATAATGAAAAGTACGAGAACATTGTACTAAATTTAGTTGATAGAAAAACATATTTTTATGACAAATGTAATTTTTTAAAAAAGTTCAAATAGAAGGACATACACCTCTAATAAGGTGAGATAGTATTAATTAGACAGTTCCAAGTGAAGCCGCTAATAATGAACAAAAGTTGTTAACAATTTAAAATTTCGCTTGAGAGTCCAGTGGATCCTCGCATTAATTGGATAAGCGTCTTCGTAGTGAGAGAATTATGAGATGATTCAATCCTACTAAAATTCAAATTGTCATATTAGATGACCAATTTGAAGGCTAATTACCCCGTAGGTATGAGGGATGATGACGAAAGATAAATAAGTTAAAGTCATAAAATCTAGGAATTTGTAGATGTTCTTTTGAATGGATCTACAAAAGGAAAATTATGTATAGATAAGAAGATACCGATCTTCAAAACATGACTCATGACAAAGAGTTGAACTTAATGTGATATGAACCACGATCAAGGAATTTCCATACCTGAAGGTCCAATTACAAGGACGAGAGCTAAGAAGCTACAACAAACCTTATACAGTTATATTCAAGCTATGGTGAGCTTATCAAAGGAAATTCTAGAAGATGCTGGAGACCTCCCTTATATATTGTGCAAAGTTGAGCTTCAAGAAAGAGATGAATTAAATGCACTTTAAGTTGCATTTAATGAACTCCGCTGAATTTATGAAACTAGTCCAAGGATGAGTCAATAAGCACATTTTATTAATTGCATTATTTAATTATAGTTTAAATATTTGTTTGCCATATTTAAGCTAGTTTTAAATATAGGAGTTAAGGTTATATTGTAACCCACATAGGTTACTATATTCCACCACCATTTTAATATGGAGGTTATGGGTATTTTTCATTTACTAGCCCATTTAATTTGGGAGTTATATATGATATAGGTTAAGGTTGTAAGGGCTATATAAAACCTTCTTTTCTTTGATTAGACATCAGATTTTGGAATTAAAAATAGAATTTCTATTTTAGCTTTGTTGAGAGCTAAACTTTCTTTGCAAATTCTTGTGTTTAGAACTTGCATGTAGAGTCATTTAAGTGGTATTGATCAAACCTCTTGTGGAGTGATTCGAATCACGAGTTTAGAAACGAGTTTTCTTTACTCTTGATCTTGATCATCAAGGTAATCCGTTCCATACTTTCCCTTGGGTTGATTTTCCATATCATAACGGGAGAAAGTAACTAGAAGTAGACTTCTCTCATGTTGTCATTTAGAGTGTGAACAGAAATCTAAGAGAATGCATCTACACATGTTATTATATGGATTTATTATTAAAGATCAAAAGCAAAAGGTTTGCTAAAAGGAGTAAAAGTTCATTTTCTTTTTTTAATAGAATGTTTGATAACCTATAACTTTAAATAAATTGTAATGAGCTTGTGAAAACAATAAAATTATTGATTAGTGAATTTTCTCAGTTTTATGTTGACACATTACTCATTATGATGATGTAATCTGTCCATCTAACATAAATAGACTACCTAACCAATTCCAAATAAATGATTTGGGATGATTCTGTATCTCCTAAAAATAAAGATTTAAGGATAAACGTTAATATTGTCTCATGTCTATTATATTGACAAAATTGATGCAAAACTTCAAAGAATGATAATGATCATTGAAATATGAAGTAAGATGAATAGTATCATAAGTAACCTCAAATGTTGAGAGTACGATTAATTATCTTTCCTGAGAGGGAGACAATTAATGCGTAGACGAGAATTAACCTTAAATATACAGTTAGTTAGATTATATTAGTTAAACTAATGGTATGACCCTTAAGTGGAAAATTAAAGTTTTCTTAGAGTATTGATGGATAATGAGAATTTTTTATTTTGTGCATGGAGTTAAAGATTTGATCTTTAAGTGATACACTGGTTACATGAATTTAGAGAAATTTATGTTAAGATCAATTTTACCATAGATTGTGAAGTATGGTATACAAGTAGAATATTTTTGCTTTTAAAGCAACAAAATGACTTGTCTGACTATAATAATTTCTTAAACATTTGAATGGTGTTTCAGATGTGATTTAGTTTGTCACCTTCATTGTGATAATAGCGAAACAAAGACTAATATTAAGGAAATTATAAAAGATCAATCTATAAAGAATGATATTGAGAGAGAAAGCATCGTGGTAGTGACCAAAATGGCTTTTAATGATAATTATTTTGATTTATATAAAATGACTCTCTAGGCTAAAGTGTTTGATGGTCATCTAAAATGTCTAGAATTACGATACATGTCTCATAGTCTCTAGACAAGTGGGAGAACATGTTGGGTATAGAGTATGCCCTAGGACACATGTCTTACCCGCTTTAGTGCAACTGGGAGATTATTGAAATTTATGCCATAAAGCCTTGTAATTAATTATTTAGTTTTTAACAATAATTTATATTGTTTTATTTGTAATTTAATTGTTATCCATGGTATGAAAATCCAAATTTATTAATGTAATTTTGAACAGTATGTGGTTGACATACAAGAGGATCGTGTTCAAGTAGTAACCTAAAGAGTCTATATAACATATAGATAAAGTTGGGTGTCTTATCCTGGTAACACTATTGATACGACCCACTTTGTAATTGTTACAAATGATTTGATCCAAATCATTCATGTGGAGACATGTAAGTGAGGGTATCCTATACAATGAGTTTGTATGAGACTGGACCAAGAAATATTTAATCTCTCTTTATAAATCCATTAATTGAGAAGATTAATATTTCACATGATGATCATATGCGACTCGATCTTAATCCTGAGTGAGTTATGAACTCCTGCCTGTGAGGGCTTGTCCTTTAGTTTAGATGGGTGAGAATGACTGTTTTAGCCGATTCAATATGCCTACTATTTTGGGGACTTGACCAAATAGAGAGTTGGGAACATAATATCATGTGATGGAATTCACTCATTTCCATATAAGGAAAGTAGATGAGTTGTTCTCTTAAGTACATTTCGGGACTTGAATAATGGGGCCCCACCCTCTCATTGGTTCGAGATGGACTTGATTTATGATTGGATCATAGAAAAATTGTTCATTAGAGAATCAATAGTACTTAAGGTAAAAGATGTAATTATAGGGATCGACTTGCTTGTAATGATTATATTAATGGACATAACTTGTCCTACAGTGCATAAGAGTACAACTCTAGGTCTATAGTGGAGTCACCTATAGTTAATGAATTAAAATTGATTAATTAAAGAGTTTAATTAATTAATTTTGTATCATTGGAGCTTAAAATCGGTAGGTCTATAAGGTCCCCTTGCTAGCTTATAGTAGCACTAAAAAGTTCAATTTATTTGAAAAAAATCGGAAGCAAATTGATATTTAATATATTA